CACTGATCCCACTGTGGATTATCCTTCCCACCAAAGTGTTACCTATTTATCTGCTCCCATTTGCTGCTTTCGAACTGCTAGGTGAGCAGGAGCTCATCCCGTCACGCAGCACTTGGGTCTTCAACCTGGGCCATCAGCTTTCTAGTTGACAATAGGGATGGGGTTCTGCCAGTTTGGACCAGTTCGGGCGAACCCCTTGCTTCGAAGATCAGCTGTCTCTTCACCGGTTCGCTGCGACGATCGTGTGGGCCCAACCAACCCACCCCTGTGCAGGACTGACCTCTATTGTCCCAGCTGATTAGCACGGAAGAGCAGATTGCTGCTCCTCAGCTGTGTTACTCCCCCAAAGCAACATAGTAGGTAAGGACTTTTGTATTGTGTTGACGCGTGCGCAGCGTGTGTTAGGTGCGAACACGGGTGATCACCGAACCAGTTGTTATACCGGCAGCATCACACCCCGGGTTGACAAGCTCAGCGTCTTTCTCCTCTGAGCCAGGGGTCCCCAACCACCGGTCCCCGGACTGGTACCGGTCCGTGGATCATTTTTTACCGGGCCGCAAAGCTTGGGCGCCACTATCTTGTTTTGACAGCGTTTCCGGGTTTTCGGTTGCTTCCGGGTTTTGGGTTGGAAAGTGCTTCCGGTTTTTCAGTTGGAAAGCGGCGTTTGGGTGCTCGCGCCTCAGTTTCGTCGAAGGGGGGGGGGCGGCTTCGAACGAAGAGCCGTCCCGATGGTGGTGGAGTCTCACATTACTCAGGTACCGGTCCGTGGAAGAATAAATAATCGTGAAACCGGTCCCTGGATCGAAAAAGGTTGGGGGCCACTGCTCTGAGCCATTGCGTCCCTTCCCCCTATCATATCAAAACATAATGATCAGAAATGTGCAAACACTTCTATTCCTCCTTTTAGACTTTGGCAGCCTGGTGTGGTGGCCTTGTGGATTTCTGGGAATGGATCCTTGAACCGTATTATGGATATGGCATTCTAGCTGAAATAACCAGATCAGAGGAGGAATGGAAGATTCCACACATTCCTAAAAGTTACATTCTCCCCAAACCGCACAGTTGTTATTATTTGCCTGTTCCTATTATAGGAGACCTTATTAATGTCAGATGGACCAAACATGCTCTTTTAAATTCTCTCTTATTCCACCAGTATAGTTTCATCTGCAGAAAAGTTCTAGGCTTTTAAATGAAAGGCCTGAAGACTAAAACATACGAAGAAGAATGGTTGCAGAAACTGGGTATGGTTAGACTAGAGAAAAGAAAGACTAGGGGTGACAGGATAGCAGTGTTCCAGCCTTTGAGAGGCTGCCACAAAGAAGAGGGGGTCAACTTATTTTCCAAAGCACCAGAAGGCAAGACAAGAAGCAATGGATGGAAACTAATCAAAGAAAGAAGCAACCCGGAATTAAGGAGAAATTTCCTAACAATGAAGACAATTATCCAATGGAACAGCTGGCCACCAGAATTTGTGGGTGCTTCATCACTGGAGGTTTTTAAAGAAACTAGACAGCCACTTGTCTCAAAAGGTTCTTCAAACTGGACTTCAACTCCCAGAATTCCCTACCTTGGCAACTTAAAGATGTATTAACTTCAGCTTCCAGCCATGCTGGTTGAGGAACTCTGGGAATTGAAGTCCGTGCATCTTCAAGCTGCCACGATTGAGAAAAATACTGCTGAAGGAGACCAGTCCTGATCACCTTTTGAGCTGGCTCTTCTGTCTGATTAATCTTTTTTGTGTGAAGATTGATGGTTGCTTAAGTCGACGAAGATTTCAGTCATCCAAGTAAAGTTGTCTAGAAGGTGAGTCGTGCAAACTGGACGTCTTTTGGTTTGAAATGCTCTGGTGCTTATCCAGGTAGCTTCTAAAATAAAAAAAGAAACCAAAAAAGAACATAAGTCCAATTGCCATGACTCTATTTCCAGATGATTGCTTAAAGCTTTGTAGGTGCAACCTCTACTCTGCTGTTTTGTTGATCTTTGAAAATGTAGACTCTGCAGCTTAAGGGACCTTACAAAAGTTCTGAGTTCATTTACCAGCAATGCTATTTATAGTAGGGGTCCCCAACCATGGGCCAGTAGTGGGCCACGGCATGTCAGAAACCGGGCCACACAAACAAGCAAAATCCCTTCAGCAAGATGCAGGCAGCACACAAAACCTCTCTCCACAGAACTGGTCCCTGGTGCCCAAAAGATTGGGGGAGCGCTGATTTACAGGGAACATTTTGCAAATTGACTGATAAAATAGTTCTACATTCCTGTACCTAGAGTAGGCAAATAGAAGGAAATATCCTCTGACTGACTTTAAGAGAGCTCCTCCCTCCCCTCCTTTCTACTTTACTGCAAATCAAAGAGGGAGGATCCCACTCCAATCTAAATTTCAACAAAGGGGATTTAACATCCACTTTAAGTAGAAAGATCAGCAGAGATATAAGAACAGAGAAAAGTAATGGTGGGAGAATTGAATGCATGACTAAATTTTTTAATGTTGGGGATATATTGCACTGAGGGTGTATGGAGTAAGATAAAAATGCCGTTCCATTTGTATTAAGATATGTTTTTCCTCAGCAAGAATTGTTGAATAAGCTATAAATATCTGGGTTTACCTATTGTACTAATCCATAAATCAGGATTTTCGAACAATAATAGCTGGATTCTCATAACATGCTAAACTGTTAGTCGTGCTGAAATACATTGTGGGAACTCAGTTACTTACACTAGCAAGCAATGAAGGCATAGGGGGCAGTAATTGGAATTACATACATTTTGAATGGTGTTTTATTCATGGCAAACATTTTTGTGGTCAGGCATTTGTTTCACCCTGTTGATTTAATTGGTTTTATCCTGTTCTCTATCTTACCTGTTGTATTTGCTTTTGTTTTTATTGCATTGCAATTTGGAGAAGTGGTTTTTGTTTTCTGCTCTTGGTGATAATGATGGGTAGCTCTGAGTGGTGTTTCGGTAATAAAAGAGAGGGAAGGCTGATACAACTCCATGACAAACATGTTTTAATTTCCCTTCATGTCAGTTTCATTAAACTTTACAGGGTCTGTTCTTGAAAAGTGTCTCCCTACAAATCAGCTAATGAAAAGTATGGAAGCCTGTTTGTTATCTGGTATATACGTAGTTTAGAGCTAATGTCTTACTAGGCCAATTACAAGGGGCTTTCAAATTAGGGCAGATTTAAGAAATGGGGAAGGGGCTATGCAATCCCAGGTTTGGAGGGAAATCCCGGCATCATCACACAGGAGTCTTAACATCAAGATGGATTCCTGCAAAGCATTTGGGAAACCTCAGAAGCACAGCAGAATTGTAGCAATGTGAGACTCCCGAGGAACTATTTATTTTATTTATTTTATTTTGTCAAGCGATTATTAGATAACAGGTATAAGTAAGAACATAGTTATGAATACATGGATATGTATAAGAAAAATAAACAATATAAAAGAAACAATAGGACAGGGACGGTAGGCACGTTGGTGCGCTTATGCACGCCCCCTACAGGCCTCTTAGGAAAGGGGTGAGGTCAATAGTAGACAGTCTTAAGGTTAAAGTTTTGGGGTTTGGGGAAGAGACTACAGAGTCAGGTAGCGTATTCCAGACATTGACCACTCTGTTGCTGAAGTCGTATTTCCTGCAATCAAGTTTGGTGCGATTAACCTTGAGTTTGTATCTATTGTGTGCTCTTGTATTGTTATGGTTGAAGCTGAAGTATTCATTGACAGGTAAGTGGTTGCAATGTATGATTTTATGTACTATACTTAGATTGAACCAAAGGCAGCGTAGTTCTAGGTTGTCTAGGTCTAAAATTTCATGTCTGGTGTCATAAGGTATTCTGCTATGAGTATACACGTAGTAGGATACTATAAGTCTTCAACTTAAGACCACCAGGGAGCCTGGAATTTGGTTCTAAGTTATTGCAATCATAAATCAAGGCACCTCATGATCATTTGGTTTTACAACTCTTAATGACAATAAAGCAAGTAGCTGCTATTGTTAAGTGAACCAGTTATTAAACAAATCTAACATCTCGAATGGGCCTCTTTTGCCGTAACACATTATAAAATGCTGCAACTGGTTGGAAATGCAAACCAGCTGCCAAGCACCCAAAAATTGAGCACATGACCGCAAGGGGCAGGCAGTAGTTGTAACTTTGAGGACAGGTCAAAAGTAGCTTTTCTAAAGTCCATACATCAAGTATTGCAGGCCCAATTGGCAAAAGAAAGCTGGGGCCATGATCATTTGGTTTTACAACTCTTAATGACAATAAAGCAAGTAGCTGCTATTGTTAAGTGAACCAGTTATTAAACAAATCTAACATCTCGAATGGGCCTCTTTTGCCGTAACACATTATAAAATGCTGCATATTGGTTGGAAATATGCAGAAGAGGTCTTTCTCTTGCAGTGGCTAAAATGATGAGGATGAACTCCAAACACTCATTAAGCAACTATTTGTAAGTCAAAGACTGACTGTAGGCCCTGACATTTCTTGGGCAAGCTTTAGGGCCTAATATGTATGATCCACAACCCATTTCCTGCTACTTTGCTAGCAATTGCTATAGTACTAGGAAGTAACCCACTCCACCCCAACACCTGTATTGTCTGTGTAGCAATTGCTAGTGGTATTTTCCTTGTAAAAACCAGAAGGTGAATTTCCAAACCAATAGTCCTGGCTGCTTTATGTGTAAAATCTCATTAATGGAGAGTTGGAGGAGGTGGAACTGTTCTCTTTCTCCTGAGTTAACTACTGATTATAATGAATGTATCACATATGGGTTTGTTGCTGATTTGGATTTTTTTCTGGTATTTTCCAGCTTGGATGACATTTAGCGATGTGGAAGAAATTTAGGATTATTAATGCTGAGTCTGTAATCTTGCCAGGAAGTTTTGCAATAGAGAAGGGAAATGGGAAAGGGTTATTTTAATGCTTCCTGGGATTAGGATGTTCCTTTTTCTTTAAGTGTTATTCTCCCTTTTGCCCTGCTGTTTTTGCCAGGTAGACTATCCCAAGAAGTATTCTCCTCCCCTGAAGTGGTTGCTGCTGGGGCACCCCTTGAACATTTGTTGAAGTGGAGCGAAGAAAGACAAGATGGGACGGTCTGTCTGGCTACTCCAATTCTGCTGAAAAAGGTAGGAAAAGGTGCTTTTCAAATGGCGACTGGATTTTCCTGGTTTTTTTCCCCCCTTGAAAACATTTCACTTTTTATCCAAGAAGCTTCTAACTGAATGGGGAGGGAATGGAAGGATTTATATATGAGCCCTGGTGGTGCAGTGGTTAGAATGCAGTATTGCAAGCTGACTCTGCCCACTGCCAGCAGTTCGATCTAACCGGCTCAAGGTTGATTCAGCCTTCCGAGGTCTGTAAAATGAGGACTTAGATTGTTGGGGACCATATGCTGACTCTGTAAACCGCTTAGAGCCGTGATGGCAAATCTATGCCACACGTGCCGGAAGTGGCATGCAGAGCTATCTCTCTGGACACTGCAGCTGTCACCCATTGCTCTTTCACATGCATGCGCCGGCCACCTGGTCTTCTGGTTTCTAACACTGGCCGGCACACGCATGTGCATTAGAAACCAGCCGACCACCTGGTCTTCGCGTGCGCATGCACATTAGAAGCCAGAAGACCAGGTGGCCGGTGCGCATGCACATGTCAGGAGCTGCTCTTCTGGTTTCCAGCGCACGCACATGCATTTTGGCAGTTGGTGCATTTTCAGCACGCGTGCGCTCCTGTTTCGGCACTCAGTGCTGAAAAGGTTAACCACCTCTGGCTTAGAGAGAGAGAGAGGGCTGAAAAGCACTATGAAGCGGTATATAAGTTTAAGTGCTATTGCTATTTAGGCTTTAGTTTTTTTAAAAAATTCATATGTTGCCTATCTCCCCAGTAAAGCAAATCTTGTTACAAATACTACTGGAATCCAGCACCCACCCATGAATAAAGCCTGATGAGAATACTGTGCCACATTAGTGTGCCTTTAGCGATATAGTAAATGTTTATTTTTTATTTTTTTAAAAAGAGCTTGTTGAAAGGATGACATCTTCTGTGAGCCCCAAACCTAGGCAGACGAAAAAGAAGGCATTTTTGTGACTGCAGTCACATCCCATGGTTTAGTAGTTTTATTGTGTTTGTGAGTCATCCAGGTTTGTGGATGAAACCACTGCAAGCAAGTAAATGCATCAACAAATGGATTGGAGCATTAAAAAACCCAAACCTAAATTCTACCTAACCCGGCCTTGTATGTGTGAAGCCAGTTGCTAGGTCTTTCGTTGACCCAGTTATCATTATGTGATTCTGTGATTTCCTCTTATCTTCCTTTTGGTCCATATCATAGGAGGTAATTTGGCTTTGTGTTGAGCCATTCAGACACAGCAGAATTATAACTGCTTTGTAGAAGATTCTGCTTGTTGCATGTCCGTAGGAGTTACTGCTTTGGATTTACATCCTTCTTTTGAGGAGCACATTCAGAACAGGCATTCAGATAGGAATCGAGGATATATGGGTAGTCCTCAACTTACGAACAAAATTTATGATGTTAAGTGAGAAATTTGTTAAGTGAGTCTTGTCCCAGTTTACAACTTTTCTTGCCACATTTGTTAAGTGAATCACTGCAGTTGTTAACACGGATGTTAAGCAAATCTGCTTTCTCCATTGACTTTGCTCGTCGGAAGGTTTTAGAAGGTGATCACATGATCACATTTATATTGACTGTTTCCTAGTATGATTTGATTGCTTATTGTACCCTATGACTATCGCTAAGTGTTGCACCTTATGATTCTTGATGAATATATCTTTTCTTTTATGTATACTGAGAGTATTTGCACCAAGACAAATTCCTTGTGTCTCCAACCACACTTGGCCAATAAAGAATTCTATTCTGGGATACTGCAACCGTCATAAATGTGAATCAGTTGTCAAGCCAAATGCAAATCACGTGACCATGGGGATGATGCAATGGTCATAAGTGTGGAAAATGGTCATAAGTCCCATTTTTCAGTGCTGTTGTAACTTCAAACAGTCATTTAAGTGAACTAAGTCACTAAGAAAGTCAAGGACTGCCTGTACTTGTTGTAATTTGATATAATTCTTTTTCACGTTGTAAAAGAAAATGTGAAAGAAATCCTCCTTCAACTATTGGAAGTTTTATTTAATAATAATGCCCTAAGGCAACAGCTGTGTTGATATTTCTCCCAAAGTTGTGGTTTATTGACCCATAGTCTATTTTTTAAGGGACACTAACCCTACGTTTACACATCAGGCAGCCAATTGTTTTTTTCACCAAGTCACACAACTGCATAAAAATTTTAATTAGACATGCTGCTTTATTGCCCCATTAGTTTTTTCCCTTCCCTAACAACTAATTGTTGTATTAAACAGTTCTTTCTTTTACTGATTTTTTTTAAATTGTAACGCCTGGACAAAAACTGTAATAAAGAGATTTGATTCAATTTGATCCATGGCTTATGAGTAAACCAGAGATGGTTGGTTTTATAATAGTAAGCTATAAACCAGTGATTTCATCTCACAGTGGCTGAAATCACACACTGTTGGAGAATAGAATAGAATAGAATAGAATAGAATAGAATAGAATAGAATAACAGAGTTGGAAGGGACCTTGGAGATCTTCTAGTCCAACCCCCTGCTCAGGCAGGAAACCCTATATCATTTCAGACAAATCGTTATCCAATCTCTTCTTAAAAACTTCCAGTGTTGGAACACCCACAATTTATGGAGGCAATTTATTCCACTGATTAATTGTTCTAACTGTCAGGAAATTTCTCCTTAGTTCTCCTTGATTAGTTTCCACCTATTGCTTCTTGTCCTGCCTTCAGGTGCTTTGGAGAATAGCTTGACTCCCTCTTCTTTGTGGCAGCCCCTCAGATATTGGAACACTGCTACCATGTCACCCCCTAGTCCTTCTTTTCATTAAACCAGACATACCCAGTTCCAGCAACTGTTCTTCATATGTTTTAGCCTCCAGTCCCTCATCATCTTCCTTGCTCTTCTCAGCACTCTTTCTAGAGTTTCAACATCTTTCTTACATAGTGGCAAACAAAACTGGATATGCAGTATTCCAAGTATGGTCTTACCAAGGCCTTATAAAGTGATATTTACACTTCACGTGATCTTTCTTCTATCCCTCTGTTAACAATGCAGCCTAGCACTGTGAGTATTGTTGATGAAGTAGAGGATGCTGTCAGATTACAGTAAGTCCAGAAACAGGCTGTTTTCCTGTTGCCTTTTTAAAATCAAACATTGAACTATGCACTCTGAGCTTGAATGATTAGGGCAGATTAATGGGTGAGGGGAAGACAGAGATTTGCTGCTGATTAGAACATGGGACTCACTTCTAAAACCAGCTTAATCTTGCCAGTTGGTTTTCTCAAGGAAACTGCCTTCTGTGGACTAGAGATGTTAAAAGAGAAAAATAGAACATTCTTATTTTTTTCTCCTCCTGTAAATCTTTGCCTCTTCATCTTCTAAGTGCGTTCCATTCTACCCAGAGATGGATGATCCCTATGTAAAGACCTTGTATTTGGGATGCCTGTCCAGAAGATAAATGGATGTACTGTATTTAATTTGAAAATATTACTTTCCATTAAGGGTGGTGCTTCATGGAGCCATTTCTGTTTATGCGCAAATAGATGGATCATTAATTCCATATCCAGCAGTGCGGTTAGATAATTTTAGGCTCTTTTTAGAAAGGGGCCTTCATGGCTGTTTTCAGGTTGCCATTATTAAAGAAATGGAAACATTTTTTCAATCCAAAACAGATCTCCTCTCGGTCTAGCAAGTTTTGTGGATATGCAGATCCATCAATCTTGGCTAAATGTGAGCCAACATTTGATTGAGCAGCTGGAAAAAATTGCCAGTAGGTATTTGATGGCTATCATAATCACAGTTCTTTTTCATTTCCCCTTGTAACCACAACTTGTTCTCATATCTCTGAGGTTTTTAATTCAGCTCTAGCCAAAATTCCAGTGTCTTTCTTTAAAAATGAAGTATTAATCTATTTCCTGAAAGTGCACTGAGGCTAATTTCACGTCAAGTATTTAATACACTCGTATATTGTCAGTTGATAAACGCCAACTCGTATGAAGATTGAACTGTTTTGCTGAGTTTTTCCCTGATTTGAATTGATGTTCCCATCTTTTCTTTCTTTCTATTATGGTACTGCCATTCTGTTTTACTTTTGTAAGGTTTTGTATTGGCTGGGTTTTCTATTTTTTTTTCCTGTGCAAGTTGCTGAGATTCATTTTATTTCAGCAATCTAGATATATGTTTAATAAATTAATACCCTGACACCAACTTATTCAACTTTCTTTCATATCTCTCCTGACTACTGTGATGACTGTAAGTCTTTTGTTATAAAAGGCAGGACAAGAAGCAATGGATGGAAACTAATCAAGGAGAGAACCAACTTAGAACTAAGGAGAAATTTCCTGACAGAACAAATGATCACTAAGCGATTGACAAATCAAATAAATATTAAAAATACTAAATACTAAAAGACTTCTAAGGTCGGTTCCAACTGTGCTATTCTGTTTCACAAAGCTGTCGTTTAGATTTTATTTAATCATTTTCTTTGCTTTTGAATGCTCTTCCTAAAGCAAAGTTATCCAGTGAAGCAATTTCTTATCCTTATTAACCTCTTTGGAATTTATCCCATTTTCTAATTTGTTCTTTATTTTCTCAAGAAAATATGACCTGTGCACCCCAGACATAAATCTGAGGATGGAAGCATGCTCTTCCCTGCTGTTCATTTTGCTTCTTTCTTTGCTTTTTTTGAACAGACCACCATAGGATCTGTTACATTTCTAATGCGCTGAGTGTAATTCAGGATATTGTAGGTGCCTCCAAGATGGCAAGATGCAGACCACTCTATGTTGCCTTGCAAGAAAGGGTCTAGAGCAGGGGTCTCCAACCTTGGCAACTTTTAAGACTTGTGGACTTCAACTCCCAGAGTTGAATTCTGGGAGTTGAAGTCCCCAAGTCTTAAAGTTGCCAAAGTTGGAGACCCCCTGGCCTAGAGCAGTGTTTCTCAACCCTGACAACGTTAAGATGCTTGGACTTCCCCAGCCAGAATTCTCCAGCCAGCCATAATCTTAAAGTTGCCAAGGCTGGGAAGTTA